GCTTACCTACTTAGCAGTACTAATCATACCAGCACTAAGCTTATATCTGAAATGAATAACCTAAGTATTTAATGCTTCTACAAAGGTTTTGACCAATTTTGCTTTCGACCCTTATGAGTCTAAGACGAACGAAACATCTGTATAGTGCAGTCTACATAAAGCACCAATACGACCAGATAGTTTTCGTAGACAATAGTTCAAGACAGAAGATTATTTTTCGGCTTTGAGTGATATACAGCATACACGCATGTAGTCTCAATTTGATGTATTCGATTAACTCCTACGGGAAAAATTAAACATGTTGAAAATTAATATAAGGCAAATGAGTTGTTTCTTCTTTGTAATTCCGTAAATTAATCACACTAATATATACATTTATGATTTTGACTCGTTGTCAACCTAGCACGACCATAAATTGTTGTTCATTTTTTATGCATTCAAATCTGGGGTTATTCAATACTGTAATTAAAATAAATGAAGTTTCTTAACTAAACCAGTATTGAAATGGTAGTGTGTAGCTGTAGGTGATCACACTTTTCCCAGTAACTTAACCAGTTTTGAAATGGTAGTGAGTAGCCGTAGGTGATCACATTTCCCAGTAACTTAACCAATATTGAAATGGTAGTGTGTAGCTGTAGGTGATCGCATTTCCCAGTAACCTAACCAGTATTGAAATGATAGTGTGTAGCTGTAGGTGATCACATTTCCCAGTAACTTAACCAATATTGAAATGGTAGTGTGTAGTAGTAGGTGATCGCATTTCCCCCGTAGCTGCCGCGAACAGGTGGAACAGCGCAGGGTTTAATACACGAACGCGGGGGCTATTTTTAGTAACAGGAAACACTGGCTTCTTCATTCATAGAAAATTAACTTCATAATATCAATATAATTTGTATTTATCCTATAGATACAGGCAAAGTATTTAGTTTCTTCTGAATGTTCATTAGAGGATGATAAAACCTGATAGAATAGAAATTATATTTACTTTCGATGAATTACCTTCCTATATTTAGAAAAACATGTGAATTGTCACATAGCAACATACNTGAATGTTCATTAGAGGATGATAAAACCTGATAGAATAGAAATTATATTTACTTTCGATGAATTTTTACCTGAGCTAAAATGGAGAATATTTATTTATATTACAATCATTATCAACATATATGATAATGTTAATTAATTTCATAACATGTTTCATATATTCTTTTTGTGACATTACTTTATTCGCTCAATTATCCACCTAGTATAAAAATGCTCTCCTGGGTCTTAACTGTTTTTTTTATGTTAGTCAAAAAAGTACGCCTACTTGATGATGTTTTCTTACTTGTCATGTAATTAAGTTATCACAACGCCTAACAAAGTTATATTTAACGTTAAGTTTTAGTTTCTAATACAGTGCTCTACACTGGGCTTAAAAATTAAATCATTGTAAAATACATATTTCAAGATCATTATTAGATTCATTTGCCCTATTGTTAAAATAAAAAGATTTTCAATTTGCCAAAGGTTATGTTTTTGGTTCTTAAGAGGTGATGTTTGGAGCGGATTCTTCTGAAAGTATTAAGCTGGAAGTTTAACGGTTATGGCGCGTGCCGGGATAATATGTACTGGTCCGGGATATGGCCTATGAACAGGTAGAATTATCACACATATACAACAGTCTATATCACAGACAAGTATATGATAAGTATATATAGCATTTGCTATAAATATGAAATACAAACAAAGTTGGATTAATATCATTTATCAAAAATAATTAATTGTTATGATTATCTATAGAATGTGATTGATATACGTTATCTGTTTATAAGTCCGCTACAATATTTCATTTATCTACAGTTTTCGGTTTGTCACTCAGAGGCAAACTATACGAACTTTAAAACGAGTCAGTCTGTGTGTTCGCCATGTCTATTTGCTAAAGCTAAGGTCAGTTTGTGATGTATTACAAAATTTGAATTCTTTCTACATAAAACAAACATAGAACGAGAGAATGTTTCGTAGACAATAGTGTGAGACAGAATGTTTGTTTTTTGTCTTAAATTACAACACACACAACGCAATATTATTTAATATTCCATAAGGTCCTTCGACTAAACCTGTAACATATTTTTGACTTCTATAAGGCAATTCAGTTGTTTCCACTTCATAATTCCTTAAATTAATCTCACTAATATAAACATTAATGATTTTGACTCGTAATCTCAACCTACCACGATACTAAACAGTTGTTCATTTCTTACATATAAGCCTGGGGTTATTTAATTTAGATTGTTTTTTTTAACTAAACCAGTATTGAAATCGTAGTGTGTAGCTGTAGGTGATCACATTTCCCAGTAACTTAACCAGTATTGAAATGGTAGTGTGTAGCTGTAGGTGATCACATTTCCCAGTAACTTAACCAGCATCGGGATGGTAGTGAGTAGCTGTAGGTGATCACATTTCCCAGTAACTTAACCAGCATCGGGATGGTAGTGAGTAGCTGTAGGTGATCACATTTCCCAGTAACTTAACCAGTATCGGGATGGTAGTGAGTAGCTGGAGGTGATCACGTTTCCCAGTAACTTAACCAGTATCGGGATGGTAGTGAGTAGCTGTAGGTGATCACATTTCCCAGTAACTTAGCCAGTATCGGGATGGTAGTGAGTAGCTGGAGGTGATCACATTTCCCAGTAACTTAACCAGTATCGGGATGGTAGTGAGTAGCTGGAGGTGATCACATTTCCCAGTAACTTAACCAGTATCGGGATGGTAGTGAGTAGCTGGAGGTGATCACATTTCCCAGTAACTTAACCAGCATCGGGATGGTAGTGAGTAGCTGTAGGTGATCACATTTCCCAGTAACCTAGCCAGTATTAAAATGGTAGTGTGTAGCTGGAGGTGATCACATTTCCGAGTAACCTAACCAGTATTGAAATGGTAGTGTGTAGCCGTAGGTGATCACATTTCCAAGTAACTTAACGAGTATTGAAATGGTAGTGTGTAGCTGTAGGTGATCCCATTTCCCAGTAACCTAACCAGTATTTAAATGGTAGTGTGTAGCTTTGGGTGATCACATTTCCCAGTAGCTTAACGAGTATTGAAATGGTAGGGTGTAGCTGTAGGGGATCACATTTCCCAGTAACCTAACCAGTATTTAAATGGTAGTGTGTAGCTTTGGGTGATCACATTTCCCAGTAGCTTAACGAGTATTGAAATGGTAGGGTGTAGCTGTAGGTGATCACATTTCCCAGTAACCTAACCAGTATTAAAATGGTAGGGTGTAGCTGTTGGTGATCACATTTCCCAGTAACTTAACGAGTATTGAAATGGTAGTGTGTAGCTGTAGGTGATCACATTTCCCAGTAACTTAACCAGTATTAAAATGGTAGTGTGTAGCTGTAGGCGATCACATGATAAAATAGAAGTTATATTTACTTTCAAGGTTCATGAGAGGATAATCCAACATGATAGAAAAGAAGTTATATTTACTTTCAAGATTCATTAGAGGAGAATCCAACCTGATAAAATAGAAGTTATATTTACTTTCAAGCTTCATTAGAGAATAATCCAACCTGATAGAATAAAAGTTATATTTACTTTCAATGAACCCTCTTTCTATATTAAGTAAACATATGTGAACGGTCACATAGCATCATACGATAGCGAAAATCACATAATATATAAATACACATCTATTTTTGTTGTGGACGCAATATTGTCTCTTTCTAACCGTTGAAATAAAGAATATGTATTTAGTTTGCAATCGATATCAATATGTATGATAATTTTGTATATTTATATTCTTTGGGTTTTTTTTATATTTCTTTTAGAACATTTCCATATTAGCTTATCTGGTCCGAAGGGCAAAGTGAGTTGATGCAATGGCGCTAAAACAATTTTGATTTCTGAATTTCCTGAGAGGACAATCAAACCTCATAAAAAAGCTTTCCTGGTCCGTAACAGGTTTTATATATGTTCATCAAAATGGTAAAATTGCTTAATTTATTATATTTTTAGCTTAGTGTCTTAGTTTATGCCATTGTACTTTTCTTTAATCGACTTCTTTCAGTAATAAGAAAGCCTATGAACATGATATATGCTTGTTACTTGACATGGTGCATTCAAATTATCAAAAGACTTCGTCGAATGAACCATGAAGTACAGAGTAGTGATATGTAACTAGTAGCTTACTTCGGTTCCAGAACTTGGCTTACTAATTCTCTTATTTCTCAAATGTATATAACACAAGGGTTGTTGGCAAATATTTACATTTCGGGTGTAACTCAGACTCAATAACGCCTGTCTTTTTCGTTTATTTCAACATCTTATACACCAGGTGGGGAACGTATAAAAATATTGTTATATTCTAAATGACGGCATTGTTAAAGTGTAAAGGTGTTGGTTAGGTTTTGAGTTTATGTTATTATGTCGTGAACTTTGCATCTTTGAAGTTTATAACACTGTCTGTCTATCTGTCTATCTGCCTGTCTGTCTGTCATATAATTCAGGTAATTTTATGAAGGATCTAAAGTATGTAGAACATGCATAAACCCGGTTAGTTTTCCGTAGACGTTTTTTGAGATTTGTTTTATCCTTTAACTACAACATAGACACATGCATTCACATTAACTTAAAAGTGTATTTCTACCGAAAATATCCGATTAAGCATTGCGAAATCAACGACATGCACTAAATTAAACAATGTCTGATTTTGTAAATATTTGGCATTAATAAAATTGTTTCGTCTCTTAATTTACAAAACATAACTTAGCAACTGCCTGTTATTGCCGTTTATACAATTTAAGATGTTCCTTAAACAAAACATTATGTAAACAAATTATGAACTTTCAGACGGAAACTAGAAATGAAATTTTATAAAAAACTTAAGCACAATCCTAACAATCAGTCAGTGTATTTGTTAACGACCAACATTTAATTAGAACAAGAAACAAGAACAAAACAATTATTTTGTGTTCATGTTGTTTTATTTGATATTTATGATTCCACAATTCTGGATGCATTTTACAATTTTTCAACTTAATGTATAATTACAAAACTATATCACAATACAATAAATTGTTCATGTTTAAGTTACCTTGATAAATAACCTAAACTTATCGACTATCTATTTCGGAAATCGTAATCAAAGATTTTCTGTTTTTCTAAACCAAACAGTTTTTCTGAAATATTCATACTACAATTGTCACAGTTTACGAACATGCGTTCCAGAAAGTGAATTTCTGAAATTTTCGCTAAATAATTCCTGAAAAATTGCAATTTTGCAGTTAAGGATGATTTATTTAATTTCAAATAATTAATGTTCTGAAAAATTTGCAAACAACTTTAATTTAAAAAAAACACCACGACATATCATTCCAAGGAAAGTAAATAGTGAGTTAACGACGGACAAAGATACAATTCACAGTGACAATAAGTGTAATCACAACACAACGTCAGGACATATATACAATAATATAGATATTTGAACTAAGAAAAAATGTTTTACTACTACTGAGTTAAGAAAATGACAAATGACAAAAAGATGAAATATTTACTTTATATCTTATTTACACTCACAACCATGTTTTTACAAAGTTCAACCTGGTTTCATCATCTTAGATTGTCCCTGGAATCTAGATCTGCAAATAGGTCAAGTGTTTGCAAGAGATTGGACGCTTTCTGTTCGACCCTTAGGCCCCTACATCTATCACAACTTGGAATCGTCGAGGATTCTCTTGAAACATCACAACGCGTGGATTTAAATCTCTCTTTGAGGAGTTCTTTGGTTTTACCCAGCGATCCGGATTTAAATCTCTCCTTGAGGAGTTATTTGGTTTTACCCAGCGATCCGGATTTAAATCTCTGAGGAGTTATTTGGTTTTACCCAGCGATCCGGATTTAAATCTCTCTTTGAGGAGTTCTTTGGTTTTACCCAGCGGTCTGGATTTAAATCTCTCTTTGAGGAGTTCTTTTGTTTTACCCAGCGATCCGGATTTAAATCTCTCTTTGAAGAGTTCTTTGGTTTTACCCAGTGGTCCGGATTTAAATCTTTCTTTGGGGAGTTCAATGGATTAACCAAATTCTACGAAACTAAATTTCTCTTTCAGGAGTTCTTAGGAATATCCGAGCGCTCTGAGTTTTAATCTTAAATTTCCTTTCGTTGGTCTTATACTTGATTCTGTTTTTTCAGATTTCGGGATTTCTTCAAATAGTCCAAGGTTTCTTGTTCCTGCAAAAACAAAGAAATTTATGTCAGCACATGTCGTATGAAATACTTAATGCGTATCATTACATGTGCAATTATTTCCTATTGACAAGAAACAAATAAAAATGCTAGTTTGAAATCTAGTTAGTCAGTACGATCCTATACATGTAGGACGTTACCATTGCTTCATTGCCAGTGAAACACAAGCTTTTGTGATAAACTTTAGATATATTGTCATAATGAAGTTATCCAGAACCTCGTAAAATGTTCGTTGTACTACTCTCTTACAGTAAGCAAGGTTACATGTATTTTTATATCATGGCCTTGTCATTCCCTTCATAAATAAACGTTATAAATGAATAGTTATTACCACAAACTAATAGCAAAATGAAACAGAAAACCTTGCATTTCTTTACCTAGAATACTTTTTGTTTCTGCCATTGTATTGAACGTATCAAATGTCTTTGGTTCCTCTAACATTGAGTGGTAACCCAGCTGTCTTGTTGTAATGATTGCCACGCACTGAACATACCATCCCAGGGGGGCGTGACCTCCATGGCATTATTGATAGGTGCCCTATTAGGAAATAACATATTAAACATTATTATTTACGCATGCATAAAATCAATATATTATCATCTTCAAAACATTTAATTAATAATACATTGAGATATATAAGTAAGTACATACATGAATTACTTAGCATAGAAACAACATGATCAGCATAACCTGATATAATGAATTTGTATGTTTAGTCAGTTTCTGGCCAGTTTTTCTTCAGGATCACGTGATCACAGAGCGTCGTTCATTTGATGAAACCTTTCGGTAATCTAAAAGTGCACTTCGACTGAACCTTGTATTTTTTGTACTCTTCACATACAGAATTAATTTTGATTTATCATAAGTTTTTATAAATGTTACATAAAGTATTCAGGCTAACCAGCCTTAAAAGCTGACCATGCTCTACATAACTCAGCACTGAGGTCTATATATACAACGGCTGCTAGTTCGTATACTATTCCATTATTTTGTATATCTGAATCTAAGTATAATTATTTACCAAATAAGCTGAGTTGTATTAAGATCCTTGGCTTTATCTAGATAAGATTAACTATAAAAATTGAATCATTTGGAGGCATTTCGTTAATAAGAAATAGTTTCAAACTTCCAAATACCTATTGCGTAAATATTTCACATCATTTGCATTAAGTTAACTAAACTTAATCAAACAAAGCTTATTCTGTCGACGCACAGCTACAAAACATACCACAGCGTTAACACACAAGCACAAAATTAAAACTTCATATAAATAGACAACAAAATGAACTGAGGACGACACGGAAATAATTAAGATATGGTTAACATCCCAAGGAATATGTCAAATAAATACTTACATAGTTTGTACATATCTGGCCAAGCTGTTCGACGTAGATGCTGACATTCTCATACCAAGTTTGTTGATTACTCGTAGGGTATTCATTATGCAAATCCACTAGTTTACCAAAACATTCACCAGCCTATCGAAATTATCGTAAGTGTGTATAACCTACTACTGTGCGACCGATAGTTATACACACATATGCCGGTTTTTCCCGTCTTTAAATATATCTGACTGGGGATTTACATGGCATGTGTGGCCCCCTCACTGTGGAACAGATAGAAAACCACCTCTGTTTCTTTACACCGCAGCATAGTGAAGTCTTTATCTATAAATAGGTCAACTCAATTCTATTTATAAAATGTGGTTTTTAAATGCGACATATGTGTTTTTTCCGGTACGAAATTACATTCACTTTGAAAGTTGAGTAATCTGCGAATGAGTTCTGTTCTAAATTTAGATAACACAGAGCTGGGACGGGTCCATTGTGAGAGTTTAATCTGCGTAGTGGCCTATCGGAGACAAAACAAATGAAATAAACTGAAAGAAAAAGACACCTTTACTTCATTGATGACACCCAAAACTGGTTATTTTATTCAAGTCAAAATAACGTATTGATTTCAAATTTTTGATTAGTGTAGTTTTCATCTATTCACAATTTTTAACAGTTATAATGTTTCTGTTTCATTGGTATCATATAGTATGTCAAACTAACGATAAATATGAAATTATATCATGATATTTTAGTCTTGATGTGAGTAACATGTAAGAGAGATCAGATAAACAATATTAGACAGAAGAAAATTATTTGAAACTATGAAACGTATTACTGGGAAATATATATGAATGGTAACAGATCCCGACCCAAGTTTGAATTATGATTACAGATAAATAATAGGTTATATAGAACTACCGTAATAAAACAACATCTATTAATGGTCATTTTGTGTATTACACAAGTATTAATACAACCTACAGTTAAACCCATTGTCAACGGGCTATTCCCTGGCTACCTCTGCCTGTCCTAACTCCCCCTACTTGTCCTAGCTACTTCCTTCTGAGATAGCCATTGTTTTTGTTTTTGTCTTGAATACAATTTCTAACTTAGATCATCCTCCTAAGTTGTGCATAGTGTTGTCTACGGAGTATATGACTGATACTTAAGAGAATATTATTTGTACATTGCCTCGATTCCATGTGACCAGGAAGCTCAGTGGTCCAGTGTTCAGCGCTTCTCCTATTATTCCAGTCCGGCGAATTACGCTTTACACCATGGTACAAGAACGAGTGTGATGGCATACTCAACGAAAACATACAAATACGAAAACAAAGAACGAAAAGAAACAAAAAGGAATCTTGAAGCGTAAACAAATCTGTGATCCTAACTTAAATTCGATAAAACTAGCGCATAATATGAACAAAATATATCAACACTGAGACCCTTGCAGAATGTACCAGGGGAATAAGACCAGATGTTTCGGACCGTTAGACATCCTCTCTTTCGTCGACGGCATCCACCATTTTGCCAATTATATTTATAATATAACTAGTGTTGTTGATTTTGTAAAACAGCTTATCCAAAACACAGAGCTATACTAGAACGAGGCGTGATGATTGATATCACATCGACTTGCAAACTTTCATGTCAAATAGTTTTACTTAAAAGCTAGTGTTTCTATAATTTACTTATTTATTTTTTTCATTTTTTATTCATATTATTTAATCTACTTGTCTTTCTTTATTTTATAAACTGGACATGTTGTCAAGCTATGTAGTTATGACACATACTTTTAAATGTCTCTCTCATTTTGTCAGTAAGGAAGTAATTCGTTTCCGTCGTAAGGCGTGCTAACGTTTAAAATCAATCGACATTAAGAGGAGATATATTTAGCCCCGAACTTTAACCTATTATATAGGGTTTCATCACAACACAGTCCGAGTAAAACGGTTAGGTTTTGTTAACTTAACCAGCCATTCACACGCATTTTTCTAGTATAATTTCTGTGAAATATCTTTAAACAAATCATTCTTTGTATTTCTTCCCTTAAAACATTATTTTAAGCACTCTGAATATGATGTTTAAGACTGAATGATTTTTCCACAAATTATTTAGGATAAAACATTGTTGTTTACTAGTCGTTAAGCTAACAAGGCAATACTTTAAACATAAGCGGGATCATCAACGCTATTGACAATGAGCTATTACATTAATAAGTTACATAAACATGTATCTTTTGATTGTTAGACGGATTTGGTGTATATTTAACATTTAACAGAAAAATAACAGGACTGGAAGCAAACCAGGCCAATATTTGTCATCCTCGGATTTAACAACAAAGAATAAGGAAATTGTTTAGTTAATATTTATTACATTTTTGTTTACTAAAAATACAAAATCACAATCAAATAAGAAAAAATATCACAACCCTAACATCAACTTAATCCATGTTGACATCAATATGTCAACATTCATCATATTATCATCACTGCAATCAAAAGCGAACTATTTAAGTATGGTTAGCTGCACAGCAAATTTAGAAAGTTATGGAGTAACCAGTAAAGCAATGTCATAATATTTTTAGATGACGTAATTATAAAAGTAGGCAGTCATTTCTGACTTAACTTAATAAGGTCTGGATTTAGGAAACGTTTTCGGTTCTGTTATTCCGTTGCTATAAATAGTGATAATTTATTTTGAAATTAACGTTTTCCATTTCATATTTTTCATTTTAAAATTTGCATTTAGCGTTCATTGTTAAGATTCACAAAATTGCAAAAAATAGGTTCAATTTATATACTAAAATATGTTCGTTATTTTATATTAATTTGATTTACAGTTTTTGTATTAATTTTTTCAAAATCTTTCAATAATAACAATAACAAATGCCCTTTACATATTTTACAAGAAGTTAATCTCAGCATTAATCATTAACAGTCTTCATACATTTACACTCAAATAATTTACGCTTAATATTAAAAAAACACATTCATCATTACTCAATTTTCATCACATATCATAAAACAAATTACTTTCAATGTTAAAAACATACAATCATCATTACTCCGTTTTCAACAAATATTAAATTATTTACGCCCAATACTTAAAAAACACATTCATTATTACACGAATTTCATCAAATATCATATAAATGATATATACTTTCAATCTATTCAATACATTCATTATTACTAATCATGCATCATTTACCCAAAATAATTTACTCTTAGTACCACAGAATACACTCATTGCTACCAAACAAATGACTTACTACCCTAGAAGCAGAACCGTCTTTTGTATTCGTGCATACCAGTTAGCTACATCATATAAATCAAATAGTATACCACACTCATGTTACTTATTATACCAAACAACCTTAATTTTCTCACAATATGACCCACCACATTAATGAACTTTTAATACGCCCTTCAGTTCTTTGTTTTTCATTGACGAGTCTCCCGTATGCATCACAGTAGTATTTAATCAAATTTGAATCCATTCAACAGTAATTTGATGCTGGACTGCACGTTCTCAGAATTCGAGCTTTTCTCAAAAACGCCAAGATTTCTTGATCCTAAAATACAAAATAAAATACAATTCAGTATGAACTTAAAAAAAGTCAAAGTCAACATTTTCTGCGATTTAGGTGTGGTAATCTACAATATTACCTAAGTATTACCGTTGCTGAACAGCATTTAACAGATATATAAGCAAAGTGTCATTAGCTAACAATAACTAAATGTCAGTATAGTTCAATCATAAAACCAAAAG